ATATGACCTCTCCATCCGCCTGCAAGTTAGTTTAGCCCGTCGACAATCATCATCAAACCAAGGTGCCATACTCTCTCCTCTGTCATAAATCAAACGCCAAGGCACAAGTCTGTCGACAATTTTTTTTAACTCGTCGTTAAACATTTTTAATTCAATCTCAACATCGTTACTCTGACAAGGCCCAGAGACTGGAGAATCCAAAACAGCCCTAGCCAGTTGATTTCCGTCCAGACTTTTCCATGACCTGACATGTCTCGCAGTTATATTACGAAATGTCTGAATCAATGTTTCAACTGTTATTAAACTGTGGTCAGACATCACTCCGCTTGGAAATATTTTTATGTTGGTAACAGGAAAGTCACAAGAACTGATTACCAAATCCAAAGTACCACCCAACACATGTGTTGGTTCGTTAATGTGGTTGACTAACTGGAAGGTTTCAAATACCTCACCCAATCGGATGGAATATGGATCATCAGTTCTTTCGAGATGTACATTAAAATCTCCCATGAGCAAAACGTTAGAACCCAAGACTGTAATCTGCTCTAAAACTGAAACCAGTTCTTGAAAAAGTAAAACCGACAGTTGTGCTGAGCCAGGTCGATATATAGCAATCAGAATGAATGTACTTCCGTTGACCCAAAATTGGATAGCAACAGCTTCAAGTGTAGTAAGTTGTGGAAGAATTATTTTTTTGTACTTGAATTCTTTACGAAAGTAGACTATCAAACCACCGTGACCTGGATCATGCTGCCTAACAAAATCAACAAACTGATATCCAGCAGGCATGGCCAGATTGATAGAAATATTCCCAGCCAACCCGTGCCATGTTTCCGTTAAAACCAGTATATCCAATCCATCACAAAGTAACCCATGAACATCATCTACCCTCTTTGAAATTGACCTGACATTTAACAGTCCAATCGTAACATTGTATTTAACATTAGATCCTTTGTTTGTTAGGTGATGAAATTTATTTTTAACTAATCCAAACAAATCATAGCACGAACCCACTCTACCATTTATTAATTTGACTCTTTTTTGCCGGAAATTTCACTATTTTCCACCTTCCCACCTCCCCTCGCACTCTGTATAAAAAACCCTCTTTAGAGTTGGTCTCTCTCGCCTTTTCAGCTCCTTGCGCTGATCAACAGTCAAATCATGACTCAATTTGACGTGTGCAAAATCATCGTTCAAAGATCTGAGTTTGTACAAATTGGTAAAGAAATATTCCTTGCTTTTTACATCATCAAACTTGATGAGGATTGGCCTGACAATTCCTTCACCTCTCTTACCCAATCTAAAAACTTTCAGTGTATTTTTTCCGTTGACAGTGTCATCAGTCAATTTTGCAATCATTTTTATGACCCGATCCTTGTCATCAAGGCCTTCTCCCAGCCTGAACAGCATCGCATTAGCCTCTCTTTCTTTAGCATTGGCAACATCATTTAGTGTTTTTCGGACATTTTTAAGATCTTCATTGATGATCTTAGCACTCTGTTTCACTTCAGTGCTGACCACACTAGCAAAAGATCTCATCATTTCAGACTTGAGGCCGCTTATCTCTTGATTTAACTTTTTTCCCGATGTGCACTCAATCGAGTCCAGCTGCAATTTTATAGCGACGTGGTTGGCACTGATGGCATTAACTTTTTCATCAAGTGATTTACTGATTTCATCAATCGATTTATTCAACAGCCCCAACAATTTAACAGTTTTTTCCAATTTAGTCTTAATTGAAGCATTAACATCGTTGAGTTTGTCTAACTTTTCATTGAACGTAACTTTTATGTCATCAATAGATTTAGATAACAGTTTCATGTCACAAACGTTTTTTACACATTTATCACAGAACCATTTAATGTTACCGTTTAAACGTACAACTGAATGAACCTCGTCAGACATTGAATCAACATTAGCCGTGCACTCACACTGAAAACATTGAAGCTGTTTCAACGTAAGTACACCGTCTTTCTTACCTGGATTTTGACGTGTATTCATAATAACAGGTGGAACAAAACTGTACACTGCAATTAACACGTGACTAAATAAACTCTATGAAAATTCGATTCAAATGCCAAAAATACGCAACTTTAAATATTGAATTAAATTAAAACAGTATCTAGAATTTAATTGCAATAATATGTCCAATTTTCAGAAACAAAATCAACACTAAAACTCCGAAAATCGAGAATTTTTTATATATATATATTTATATAAATATATATAAATATATATATATATATATATATATATGTATATATATATTTCAAAAATTCAACACTACTTTCAACATTGTTCAACTTTTTTATATTTCTTTTTAATTTATTAATTTCAGAGAAATTAAACATTTTATTGTTTTTTAAAAAATTTTTATTAAATAAATTTGCAAATAGCTATTTCGAGTTATAAATGACTCATCTTCAGTGCATTATATATAAGGTATGTAAGATATTTGATATAAAGGAACAAGTAATTATTAATTTATATAAATTATTTAATTAAAACAAAAAACCAATAAAATAAATTTAATAACTATAAACAATATAAAACGCGATTTTAAAAATTTTTTTTAACGGCAACACCAACAACAACATCAACAACAACATCAACAACAATAACAACAACAACAGTGCCAACACTGTAGATACCAACGCCACAACCCACAGCGCAAATATCACTTGCAAATGGAACATCATCACAAGAAGCAAGAACCACAGCGATGATAATAATAATAATAACGTTAACAATAATAATAATAATAACGTTTTTAAATATTGTAAAAATAATATTAATAATATGTAGTTAATTAAATAAATTAATTCGCGCTTCTCGGCTGAGCGTTGATATTTACCTTAACAACCATAATATAAACAATCTTGCCGTTAAAAATTTTAAAAATCGCGTTTTATATTGTTTATAGTTATTAAATTTATTTTATTGGTTTTCTGTTTTAATTAAATAATTTATATAAATTAATAATTACTTGTTCCTTTATATCAAATATCTTACATATCTTATATATAATGCACTGAAGATGAGTTATCTATAACTCGAAATAGCTATTTGCAAATTTATTTAATAAAAATTTAAAAAAACAATGAAATGTCTAATTTCTCTGAAATTAATAAAATAAAAAGAAATATAAAAAAGTTGAACTATGTTGAAAGTAGTGTTGAATTTTTCAAATGTTGCGTTAACAGCAGTCTGTTACCAATATATATATATATATATATATATATATATATATATATATATATATATATATATATATATATATATATATATATATATATATATATATATATATATATATATATATATATATATATATATATATATATATATATATATATATATATATATATATATATATATATATCTATATATATATATATATATATATATATATATATATATATATATATATATTTANCAATATTCCTATAAATTCTACCGAATGTTTGGCGTTAGTTAATATGTTCGTAGTTCGTTTTTTCGATTTTTTTCACTGAAGTCTTTTGGTGAACGTTTAGTTTATTAAAATTCAAAATAAACTTATTTTCCAAATTCATGCTGCAAATAAGGCCATATTTCGATTCCGAATGAATCATTATCAGTGCGATTTAGTTTATATAGGGAAATATTCACTTTGTCGAAGTGAACTTAGATGGAAATTAGGTGTCAGGTTTCTTTATTGGCTGGTCCATCTTCGTTGGTTTCCTTTTCTTCATCGATAGCATCATATTCTTCTTTGTCACTATTTACAATGCTAGTTTTTATTACTTCTTTGTTTTCATTGTTGATTAAGCGTCGGGTTGGGAGTGAGGTCATTTTTTGTTGTATATTTATTTTTGGTTTATTGATGTCAATTAGGACTGCTTCTGCAATTTTAAGATGCGTGTAGTTGCTGTTCTGGTATATTACTTTGATGTTGCTGTCGAGGATTTCACGGCTAATAGTGATTGAGTGCGTTGAGCCCAAATGAGATTTGATAGCACCACTCTGTTTATGCATCGTAAGCCTTCTAGTCAGTGAGGTAGTAGAAATCCCGATATATGAGTCATGTTGATGTGCAAACCATCAAAGGGGCAATTAAATTCATATATTACGTGATTACGCTTTAACTCTCGAAGACTACAGTTGTTTTTCAGTATTAGGTGAGACGTCTTTTTATTGTTGTAATAAATTCGGAGTTTAACTTTACTATTTGGGTTGGTCAAAACTATCATCAATAAAAATGTCACACCAACCATGATGGTGTTCTCCATTCAAATCTGACTATGAAGGTCTAATAAACCTAAACTTTTGTTTGAATTGCAAGTTTAATTTTATCAGTTTGCTATCAAAAAATGTTTGCTTTAATATTTGTGTAACGACTCATTTTGTATACGCACAAAAAAGTTTCAGACGAAAACACGGCCTAAATATGTTCGACATTTCCTCCACAACGAACAATGACTAGATAATGTTAAATCTCATAGATAAAAAGGACTAGGTAATGCTAAATCTGATAAGTAACAAGGACTAGATAATATTACATCTCATTGGTAACAAGGACTAGGCATTAGCATTACTAAATCTCGTAGGTAACAAGGAGTAGGTAACGCTAAATCTGACAACTATGTCTTAAAAAATGAATAATGTAATGATTTTAACAATTTGTCTTTAAGCGTCTAGATTACTCTAATTTAAAATAAATAATACTAAGAGTAATAATGATGAAAAATATAATTAATCGACTATGAACTATGCTTCAATTGCTTTTCACATAAATTCTTGTATGAAGATTTAGGAAATTAAAAAGGAAAAAAATTAGAATTTCCCGACGTTATATATTATATATTACATGAATTACAAGACAATTTAGTATATTTGATAGCTGAATAACTATTACACCTTAGGTCGATCATTTTATTACTTTTAAAAATTCTCAGAGAACTTAACCATGTTGGCGCCCATCTAATCGAAAAGTAATGCAATAACAAAAATAGGCAGATTCACCGACAAAAGTAAATAAAGCCGCAAAAACTTAACAAAACATGCATTAAAACAACATTACCTGGCTGAGATGAATCAACTATCGTGTAATAACATTGCTCTGAAAATGACAACTTGTTGACTGTGTGCTTGATAAAACCTCTTTTCAGCAAGTTGCACGCAAATTTACGAGCGTCTCGACGGTCTGCAAAGCCTTCAACGTGCGTTAATAACCAAGTCACGAGATCTGAACCTGCATTTTGATCAAATAACAATTAATAAATTGAAGCAAAAAATATTGATAGTAAGTGAAAATTTTATACCGTCTATCTATATTTGCGTTCAATTGACAAATAATTATTTATTAAATAATTATTTTTAAATGTTAAAAATCGTGTTTTTAAAATAAAATTTTAAAATATATTGCAAGATTATTTTAACTGATTGTTGTTGTGGATTGATGCAAGCAGGACAAACAAAATTGGACACTTTAGATAAAGAACCAATTATTTTTTAACAACGTTTGTGACACCACTGGTTACACTGCTGACACTTGATTGAATTGTTACCTACACCAGCTTTACAAACTGAACCGGGCCATCGTCCAGTAGCTGTGGATTGGATGGGTTCAACAGTGTTCATTGGTTTGGTTTTGCTGATGTTGACTTTGAAACCATGATCAGCGAGTCTGGTGTTCCAATCTTCAAGCATCTGTGCTGCATTCTGCTCAGACGTGGCTGTTAAAACGATATCATCAGCATATACTAGATTCCAAATGTCACCAGTGCGTATCGTTTTTGTGATTTCTTCCATCACAGTTATAAATAACAGTGGACTGAGAATCGAGCCTTGGTGAATTCGAACGCCGATGTCAAATGCATCTGTGTTTCCAACCGTTGTGCTGACAAGAGTCTTAGTATTCGTATACATTTCCATCACAAGTCGAACAAGATATTCTGGAATGAGTTGTCGACGTAGACTCCACCTGATTGCTTCACGAGGAACTCGATCAAATGCTTTTTCAAGGTCTACAAAAATATGTGATAGTTGTTGATGCTCATTTTTGTCGTTTTTAATACATGAGGCACCAACTATGTCTTATGGCTTTGCTTGTTTTACTATACGATACAGAGATTTCATTTGTTCACCTTTGCTTTTAGTTAGCCACTCTCTGCACTGATCTGTCCGAGCCAGATAAATCTTTATAAATCTGTGATACGTCCGGTCTTGTTATATGGTGCAGAAACATGGCCAATGACAACCAAACTGGAACAACAACTTCAACGAACCGACATGAAAATGCTCCGATGGAAGCAACGAACTAGTCTGAAGGACCACATCAAATCTACCGAAATCTTGCGTCGTGATGGTTTAGATGATATAAAGGACGAATGTCGGCAACACCGTGCAGACGGTTTGGTCATGTCAAACGAAGTGGAAACAGTGCCATAACTTTTCTTGCAGATGTTGAAGTACCTGGCACACGTCCCAAAAGTCGTCCAAAGAAATCCTGGTTGCAAACAATCGAGCAAGACATGAAAGCTCTAAATTTAAATGAAATGGATACAACTGATCGTCTAATTTGGCGCAAAAAGTTGATGGCAAAGAAAACAACGTCCTACCTCGGGAAACCGGGTCTCTGGACGCAAAACGATGATTGATTGATTGATTGATTGCTTGATTGATTTTAACTGATTGAATGCATTTGACATCGCAGTGCGCTAAATATAGGGCGGCACGATTGTGTAATGGTTAAGGTGTCTGGCATTGTTGCTGCATTGTCCAGGTTCGAATGCAAAAAAAAACCCCCATCTATCACATGCTAAAGTGTGTGATGCGTTGAATCACGTGTATTTGTACACTGTATGTTTGTTGTAATAACCTCTGAGGGATATCTAAGAGAGAACAATAATATAAAGGTATCTCAAAATTTTTGGATTATTTTTATTTATTTATTTATTTAATCCAACCACCAGACGGCAATCATTCGACCCGCCATAATAATTCAGTTACCAATCATTATTTTAATAAATTCTTCTATAGCAAATTTTCTACAACATGGCCATCAAATTAAAAAATCATCTGTGTCAACTATTAATAATTTTTCATCTTGCTAATTAGTTACTAGGTGCTCACAAAATTAGGCAATTTATTTCGGCCATGTTAATTAACATATGGCGGAAAAGTTTAAAATTAGCTCAGATTAAACAGGTTGAATTAAACGATAGTTATTCATTAAATGGCATAGAAAACAAGAAATATCAAAAAAACAACAAACCAATGAAAGCATGAGGTATGGTGATTTTGAGCCACATTCTATCTCGAATGTCTAGCCCTGAATCAGGATGAATTAGAGCTTGCACAATTAACAACGGATCACTACTCGCTGTCAAAGGCTCTAGAGTAGGGGCTAAATAAATAAAATTAATAATTAAATTCACTAAAAACTCTATTGAAAATTATTTCACAAATAATTATTATTTGCAAAAAGAGTTTATTCGGAAAAACAAAAAGTTGTGCTAGAAAGTTATGATAAAAAACAGTGTTGACAGAACAGTGATAGTAAAACAATATTTAGAAGATTCAAATTTTTAGATTCGGTTTTAAAATAAGTATCGGTTTAATGTTATTCTGGCATCTGTCTAAATGCGAACTGAGCTAGCGAACCCCATTTGACAAGAACTGAACAATTTTGGACAGTGTTTTAAATGTGTTTTGGACTCTGGTTTAGATCATAACGGAACCAGTTACGAAAGAACCAGACTGTGGATCCGACTGCCATAATGTTCGTGCTAAGATTTATCTCCAATTGCAATGTGCCCAAGCGACAACCAGATCAGGACATCAACAAATTTGGGAAACTAATGGAATTTCAATTCACCCTTACCGCCTCTATTCAAAGTTGCGATTAATGTCTCATCAAGCAGAAAGCGTTCTGAGGAAAAAGTGTTGTCCAATTAAGAATCAATCACGATCTGATATTCAACTTTTTACCGAAAGCCCTGAAGGATTCAAATATGGATTCATATACATCGAATGATAGATTCGAAATATTTATATAGAAATAACCAACTCCAGAAACAGAAACAAAATATATATTAGCTGGAACTTTAAATTCACAAATAATTGCCATATATCAGAATTTTGAAATTCCTTAATTAAAAAAAATTAAAAAAAACGTGTTAGTTTTAAATTTGAGAGTCAATGAACAAAATATTTCTGAATATCAAATTAATTTACTGATCCACTTCTATCATCCGTTATTTATGATAATATTATGCTTACATGAAGCTAACGTAGATGTTGCATTCAAAAAAATTATTACTAACAACTGCATTGAGGCGTGGACAACATGGCTGGATCATTATTGCAAAGTCCTGGCATCGGCGGATTAATTTTTCCATACATGGTTCGCACAGCCTCTGTGTGAGCCACCCAAGCTGACGGGTCAATAGGATGCACAACTTCTTGTATGGGAGTCATGTTGTATCCTTTTGGGTTAGGATCCCAGCATTTGGCAACAACAAGCGTGACTGGGCTATATCAACGTTAAAAAATGTTCATGCAAATAAAAAAAGCAATGGCTTACTATATGCATGACTCAATAATTTATCACATACAACAAATATGGTGAAACAAATTTTCTCAACTATTAAATATATTTCAACTTTTAACATTAATTTTCACACCCGAATAATAAATGTCTGATATCAGTAAACTTTCTTTAATAACTTCTCCTGTTCCCTAAATATATGTTCATTTATTTATAAACTTGCAGTTAAATTATGTTTACCAATGAACCTTATCATTTAAATTTTTCAAACTTTCAATTTCACTCACAGCTTTTAACCGCGACCAGTCAAATGTCGAGTTCAAAGTTCGATAGATAAGATTTCTTTATTACCTTACTATTTTTTAAAAATTGTGTACATGTATTTATATGCGTAAATGAATTATGTGAAATAAGTATAAATGTTAAAGAATAAAACGCTAATTAAATATCTGAAAAATTTTATTTTTGCAGTGCAAGCTAGTTTGATTTTTGACAGATCAAGAGAATTCTAATTTGTTTCAATTTTTTACTAGTTGTTATTATAGAAGTTTTACGGAGACTTACAGACAACTCATGGAAACACGAATCCGTAATGTTTGTGGTAAGTCTTTTAGTTTAGACGTTAATTTAATAATTTTGATAAATTCGATGCTGATTTCACGTTTGCCGTGTTTTTTCTTTCAAAAGTCAAAATCTGACAAACGCAGAATCTGAGAATATTATAAAATGAGAAAAATAAATTAACAGAATAAAACTGCTTACATATGGAAAATAAAATAATGATTTTTGAAACTAATAAATAAATGATTAATTGATGACTGAAAAAATAAATTATAATATGTTCAATAAAGAAAAAGGATGAACAAGGTTTAAGAAGTAACGAATGATTATTGAGTATTAATATGAAGGCTTTATCCTGATAAGTTGATTAAGTGTCGATTCAATAATTATGTTTACGTCGATGAAGGTGTGTGTAAAAGTTTTGATTAATGATGGTATAGAGGGTGGCAAAATATATGGTAAAATCATTATAATTACCAATAAAAATAAAATTTTTATTTTTTTTTATCCAATTTTTATTTTATGTACAATAAAACTGTTGAAATTTTTTTACTTTTTCGGATTTGAAACTATTTTTGGTCCTGGGCATGACATAAAATTGCATCCACGCTGCCTTTAGAGCAAAAGGCTAGGCCAACCGCTTATAACTGGTGGTTGTCGTTAGTTGCCGGGTGTAAAAACTTTTCCCCAAATTATTCTTATGCCATCACAAAGAAAAACAACGGCCCCTAGTCCCCAGCAGGCATTAAGTGGTAAAGGGGTGTCAAGAATCCCTGGGAAGTATGCAATAGTGGAGGGATGTTGCAGAAAAATCCAGAATGGCCCCTCTATGGTACTTAGACTTGGAACGCTCAATGTTGGATCACTGACAGGCCGCAGCATGGAAATCGCAGAAATGCTCAAGCGTAGAAGGATTGACATCTGCTGCCTTCAGGAAACCCGATGGAAATCGAATGGTGTTTGTCATGTCAACTCAGACAAAGAAAAATATAAACTATTCTGGAATGGCCAAAAGACAGCCCAAAATGGTTTTGGAATTGGCAAAAATGGTGTTGGAATTTTTGTCAGAGAACCGCTAGCTCTAGAAGTACTGGATATTAAAAAGATTAATTCACGTCTCATGTGTATCAAGCTTCGCCTAGAAAGGCAAACAATAATTATTTTTTCTGCATACGCACCACAGACAGGCGAATCAAAAGAGATGAAAAATGACTTCTGGGCTGCATTCTCTGGCACCATCTCAACAATACCAAAATCTGAAATAATCCTGATTGGAGGCGATCTCAATGGCCACGTTCGAGAGAAAACAAATGGTTTTGACAACGTACATGGCGGTTTTGTCTATGGAGAACGGAATGAAGATGGCAACCGCATCCTTGAGTATGCTGAAAGTCACGAGTTTTAGTTACTGAACAAATATTTTAGAAAGAGGTTGGAACATCTCATAACATAAAAAAGTAGACCATCAGCCACGCAAATTGATTTCTTCGCTGTCAAGCAACAACTCCGAAGGCTATTCAAAAATGTCAAAGTTATACCTGGCGAATCATGTGTCGCCCAACGTAGACTCCTTGTGGCAGACCTGGTTGTCAAACTGTCAAAACATAAGTCTAAACAAATGCCCCGGAGAATCAAAACGTGGAAGCTGAAAAGCAATAATCATCGAGAAAAATTTCAACAGATTGTCGAAACAGTTAGACCACCAATCGCAAGCTAGTACAGATTAGAGTAAATACAAAACCGTTTTGATAAACGGTGCAACTACAGTTTGTGGGAAAACTGGTACAAAACTTCAGCATGAACGGGACACTTGGTGGTGGAATGACAGTGTACAAAATGCAATTGCTGAAAAGAAAGTTGCATACAAGCAATGCCAAAAATCAAAGTCTGTTGATGACCATAAAATTTTTCGTGAGAAGAACAACTATGCAAGACGTCAAGTTGCACTGGCTCGGACTGATCAGTGCAGAGAGTGGCTCACTAAAAGCAAAGGTGAACAAATGAAATCTCTGTATCGTATAGCAAAACAAGCAAAGCGTACAAAAAAAGACATAGTTGGTGCCTCATATATCAAAAACGACAAAAATGAGATGGTTCTTGAACAAGATGAGATCAAGCTACAGTGGATAGAATACTTCAACCGTCTGTTAAATGAAACAAATCCCATCAATGTCAACTTTGACGCTCCAACCATCGACGGTCTCTGAAAGCTATGAAGGATGGAAAGGCAGCAGGGCCCTCTGGACTCACAAATAACATTATCAAAGCATCTGGTACTGCAGGTATCCAAACGTTACTACAACTTTGCCGTGAAGTGTGGAGAAATTGCTCAATGCCGACGGAATGGAACTATAGCATGACTGTTCCGCTATAATAAGGCAAAGGTGATCCATTGAACTGTTCACCATATCGGGGTATACGTCTGTTAGAACACTCCTTGAAAATTGTCGAAAAAATCATTGAGAGAAGATTAACGTCGTGCATCACAATCGGAAGTAATCAATTTGGTTTCCTAGCGGGAAAATCAACAATTGATGCAATTCACATCCTTCGGCAACTGCAAGAGAAGTACCTCGCAAAGCATCAACAACTATCACACATTTTTGTAGACCTTGAAAAGGCATTTGATCGAGTTCCCCGTGAAGCAATCAGGTGGAGTCTACGTCGACAACTCATTCCAGAATATCTTGTTCGACTTGTGATGGAAATGTATAAGAATACTAAGACTCTTGTCAGCACAACGGTTGGAAACACAGATGCATTTGACATCGGCGTTGGAATTCACCAAGGCTCGATTCTCAGTCCACTGTTATTTATAACTGTGATGGAAGAAATCACAAAACCGATACGCACTGGTGACATTTGGAATCTAATATATGAATTTAACAGCCACGTCTGAGCAGAATGCAGCACAGATGTTTGAAGATTGGAACCCCAGACTCACTCAAAGTCAACATCAGCAAAACCAAACCAATGAACACTGGTGAACCCATCCGATCCACAGCTACTGGAAGATGGCCCTGTTCAGTTTGTAAAGCTGGTGTAGGTAACAATTCAATCAAGTGTCAGCAGTGTAACCAGTGGTGTCACAAACATTGTTCAAAAATAATTGGTACTTTATCTAAAGTGTCCAATTTTGTTTGTCCTGCTTGCATCAATCTACAACAACAAATTCGAAATAGCACTGTTTTTGAAGCCATTAAAATAGAGAAAGTCACATCGTTTCAATATCTAGGGGATGTTCTGGATTGTACTGGAACAGCTGAAGCTGCCGTTCGAGCACGCATACGTGCAGCCTGGAATAAATGGCATCTCCTTGCCTCTATATTGATGCGGCGTGCTATCCCACTTCCGATGGATGCAACGAATTAGTCTGAAGGACAACATCAAATCTACCGAAATCCTGCGTCATGCTGGTTTAGATGATATAAAGGACGAATGCCGGCAACACTGTCTGCGGTGGTTTGGTTATGTCAAACGAAGTGGAAACAGTGCCATAACTTCTCTTGCAGATGTTAAAGTACCTGGCACACGTCCCAAAAGCCGTCTAAAGAAATCCTGGTCGCAAAAGTCGAGCAAGACATGAAATCTCTAAAATTAAATGAAATGGATACAAATGATCGTATAATTTGGCGCAAAAAGTTGATGGCAAAGAAAACAACGTCCTACCTCGGAAAACTGGGTCTCTGGACGCTAAACGAAGATTGATTGATTAATTGATGGTATAGAGGGTAGATGTTTTTTTTCTTACAATGATTCATCATAAATCGGGTTATGACGGCTTTAGCTTTATCGATCATTCATCTTTTTTTTGTTTATTTACGCAGTATAGGAACAACCACGTCTCCGTTAACAGAAAAAGATGTGTCGATTTAGTAATGACGCTCAAACTTAACGTCTTCGGTTTAGCCAGCTTCTGTCATTGTTGAGAAAGTTAATGCTGTCAGGGAAGATACTTTGAATAGTGCTCCATTGAAATATTCGTCGTTCCAATCTGGCAGTCTATTTTGTACTGTAAATGAGTTAGGTATGTGTTTAGAGACTCTAAAAAACTGCCTGTATAACAGATCATGTTCGTACTACAAAGTTGATAAAACTGCTGGAGGGCCTGTTGCCATTTTGAATAAACATCTCGTTTGTTTTGGGTGCCTTCACATCTGGTTTGAACGGTTCATGTCACTCACACAGATTTTAAACGCCTGGCCTAATATTGATTTTCTTATGGTAAATATTATGCACTGTAATCCGAGGAGGAAAAAATTAGCTCGTTCACGTAATCAATATTTCGAATTAGTTCCCGATAATTTAGAAAAAACCAAACACGAGTTCTGAATTAAATAATTTTACCACCATCAAATTAGAGCGATTCTTTTCGGTTGAACGCTTCAGGCGCATGAAATTTTTTAAAATATTAATACCTTATAAGGGACACAATTCTCATTAACAAGCGCTAGTTTTTATAAACTATAATTTACGATATTCAACTAAAAACACCCTATTAATATACAGTGTTTTAAATTGAATAAACTAAATATATTACTGTAATTTTTAAAATAATAACAAACATGGCTTATTTCAACATTTATCGCCTGGTGCTTGATGTCCAGTCGTCCTACCGTACTTACGCCTCGATTGATAGTATTATAAAAATCAACGATTGGCTTTGTGCTAACTGGCTACTTCTTAACTGTTCTAAGAGAGTTGATCTGGTTTAGTTCTAGGCAGCCGATGGATGTTATGAACGGTTTGCCTCAGGTGGTTCTTGATGAATCATCGATGCTGGGAAATAAGGTGAAGAATCTTGGGTTTGCTCAGTTTAGGTAGCAAAGTTTCTACCTCCTGATATGTTCTGCTTTTTGATGGTTACCCAGTGTACTTCGTAAAAATATACTGTGAAAGAGCGGTCTAGGCTAGGTTAAAATTGAGGGGGATTACTGACACCGACTGAAAAAAACAATTTCTACAATAATACATTAAGCTATTTTTTAAACGTTATCAAAGAAATTAGTCAAAACATATTCAAAACTTTCAGTTTCAAAGCCAGTTGCAAATAGAAAAAAAAACAGAAGAACAAAAACAGTTGTAGAGATTCAGACTATTAGAAAAATTGGTATGATTAATTAATATAACTAGAATCTTTAACAGCCAACCCCTTATTAAGCCTTAGAGATTGGTGTTTCTGACTATAAATTCGCCATTGAAATTAAAACTTTTCAATATTGAAATCCCAAAGTCAGTTTTTGGTTTACAAAGAAAGCCTGTATTTAATCGTAGCATAATAAATTAGATAGATATTTTGAAGAGAAATTGCAGACCACTTTCAAACTTCAAATTTTGAAAGATTTGGATGCAATCAAAAGACTATACATTTCTAATTTCTCCAAACATACTTAGTCAAACATACTTAGCATGGATTCATATCCTTAGCACCAAGTGGGGCATTCTGCAACGTTTGTGTTATTGTGGATCGAATGAAAGGGCAAAAAATTCATTAGCATATAGGTTAACTTTGAGTGGACAAACGCAGTTGAACACTTTGAACATTGAACAAAAGAAAAATTTAACTGTGGCCAAATACCAACTTCTAGGTTGAATAAGTTTTTAATGACATAATTTTCGTGCTTTCTTGAGATATAATGTTGAACCCTGAAATAAACTTCTATCAGAGTTTTTACTAACTGGTTCAACTAATGCATTTTATACCAGTGTACAACTCCAAAATTAAATACCATATATTAGCGCTTGTCAGTTTGATTTTTATTTAAAAAAATTAGGCACTCCACCGTCCAAAAAAAACTACCTTATCTTATCATTGCGAAAATCCGATTGGCGTAATCATTAAAAAAGTTGAGTAAAAACGACATCTAGGAAAACATTTAGTGTTTTATATTCAAAAAATGAACCAATAGTTTTATATAAAAATTGCTGTTTGAAATAAAACCATGAACATTTTAATAATAAGTATAAATGAATGACATTATCGAATTATATGAACAATGTTATCAAACAGTACGACAATGTTATCGAATTCCCAGATAATCAAGAAATAAGTTATATTGTAAATTTACCCAGGTCTTTGAGCAGCTGATCTCAGTGCATGGACAGCCTCATCATTAGACATGTCTTCAAAACTGACACCATTAACTTCAAGAATCATATCACCTGGCTCAATGCGACCATCCAATGCTACTGCCCCACTGCAAATATTTTTGTAATATTGTCATATATCAATGATTAAATAGTTTTATACATTTTAGTGCCTGAATCAAACTAAATATAAAACTTTTAAATTTATTTATAAAAAAATTATCAATATAATTATTATAAAATGGTTGTAAATAAATTGCTAGATTAATATAATCTTATTTAACCCTTTCATGATAGAACCAACGTATATCCCGCCATCGCCACCATTGTTAGTCTGGCCAACAATGCTGATCCCCAAAAAATTAACAGTCTCTGCATTGATAAAAGATTATTATTTCAAGTAGATTTCATCAGGCCACATTAACTTTTAAAATTTGAGTCAATCCACGCAACAAAACTTTATAGTAGTTTTATTTTATTGAACCACGTTAGCGTTAGAAATTTAATATCACCCACTAAACCCATTTATATTTATTAAAGACTAATCAAATATGATTTACGATTTTATTTAAAAAAAAAAATCTAAAATTGAGAAAAATTTGATAAAAATGCAATGGAAAAATATTTTACATAATTTTGTTCTTATTATCGAATTTTTTTTTATTTTGTTCAAACTTATATGGATTGAAAATTATGTCTTAATGTCTTAAATAGTTTAATATAGATGCCATTGTAGCCGCTGAACAGTGTTCTTTTATAGGTTATATAATCTACCGAATTTTTAACATTGGATGGTTTTTTATTACATTTCTCAATATTTCTAACCAAATTTTTGTCGTCATTATTTAATAAATAATTATTAATTATATATAACCATAATTATATTGTGTCCTGGTTATGACATTAAACTGGCCCTCACTGCCTTGTGAGTGATGTTGGATCATCAAAGGCTAGGCCCACCGCTTATAACTGTGGTTGCGTAAGGAAGGGCGTCATGCGTAAAAATTAGCCAAATAAATTACTTATGATGACAGAAGTGACAATGGCCCTCAGTGAATGGCGTCAAGGGGTATTTCGGTTTCATCATAGGTAGCCAAACGGCAACCCCCGATCTCGGGGAAAATGTCGTCTAAACGTGTGTTGTTGTTGTATATAACCATAATTATATTATTCTATCTTATAATAAAATCAATTTAATTTTATTAAAGTTAGAATAATATACAGTTTTCTAAATAATTCTCGAGTGCATAGAACATATTTCGATTTTTCAAACATCTTCAGCACTTGTTGCAGTTATACAGAAAATTTTTATAACCCAGCACCTGTTGCAGTTTACATAGGAAATTTTTATAACCCAGGCCTTTGTTCCTGTGATTTGCATTTATTGTTATCAGTGACTGTGTTAATTTTAATATCTTCTTTACTAATTGATATGGTTTCTTTTTCGGGCTAATTGCTTGTAATTGCTTGTTATGTTTCATTGCTTTAATATAAGGTTTTATTGTGCTAATTTTATTGGTTTCATTCACAGGCCCTTTGATAGCATTTTGGTCGATGTTAATTTCTTTAGTGTTTTCATCGGTACCATTGGTGTTATTAGTATATTTTATTTTTGTCTTTCTTGTTGAAATGTTTTGTTGTTTGTTTATCAGGGGTTGTTTTATGTTGTTGAGAATGGCTTTGGCTAATTTCAGGTGGGAATGCCTGGAATTACAATATACTATTTTGGTGTTGTTGTTGCCCCTTCCGGGGGGCCCTCAAGATTCCAATCGGGGTCGGAGCCAATCCGCCACTCCTACAGGGTTGCTCTAGAAATCTATTGGTTGAAGATCCGTGTAGTTTTGGGGACAGCTAAACAAATGCTGAACATCATCCGTATGGTTGTTGCAGAAAGGACAGGCGTTGATGTGCCCACTGTCGATTCTGTTTTTGTAGCTGTTTAGAAGAATACTATGGCCAGATCGGAGTTGGGCGAGGGTCAGCCTGATAGCCCTTGGAAGTGATTCTTCTAAAAGATCTATTTTTAGTAATGGAGGAGGCCATCCGTCGAGCAATAACGGCGACTGGTACGACTGAGCGGCGACTGGCTTTAACAGTGTTTGTATGTAGGCTCTTTAAAGCTGTCTTCAGAGTGTTATCGTCGATTATTGTTGGTAGAACCGCATTTATTGTTGATGACCATATTGAGAGGCGGGTTGGTCTTTATGTCACGATGAGGACGAGGTTGTATGGTGATATTATGGCACGGGTGGCTTGGGTTATGGCATAGGAGGAGGAATTGTGAGGCTATTAGCTCTGAATGCTGCCTTACCGTTAACATCTGGCATTCTGAGTGCAGGTGTCGTTCTGATGCGACGGCATGACAACCAGTAACTAGACGTAATGCAGCATTCTGGGAGCGTTGGAAACGGGAGAAACTTGAATCTGATGTCAGTGATGCCCAGGCAGGACAGACATACTCGATTGTTGAACGACCGATGGTTTTGTAGGTCTGTAGAAGAGTTTCCTCATCCTGACCGAAGGTAGTACCACTGAGTGCCTTTAAAATATTGGTTCTTTTAGAAGCCTTCGATGCTGCTTGTTTATGATGTTGTGAAAAGATAAGCATTGTGTCTAGAGTGAGGCTCAAGAAGGAGATTGTTATTGATTTTGATTGAAAGATGGTGATGATATTGTAATGTGTGGGGAGTGAAAAGAGTGACTGTGGACTCGGAGGTGTAAATCTCTAAGTTTCTGTTGTTGAAGAAGTCATAGAGCTTCGGCAGGTAACAATTGAGCCGGTGGGTCAGACTATCTGCATCCGGACCAGTGGTGTAGACTGTGAAGTCGTCTGCATAGGAAATTACTTTGATGTTTTGAGGCGGGGTTGGCGGGAGACATAGAAGTTAAATAGAGTTGGCGACAATACAAATCCTTGAAGTACTCCTGAACGGATGGTACGTTGTTTTGAGGATTGTCGACAGAACTCTGTTGAGGCTGAGCGACCGTGCAGATATTTTGAAAGCCAGCGGACAATTGACGTGGAACCTATGACAGTAGGAGGTCAGAGGTTAGGGTACGATGGTTAATGGTATCGAAGGCTTTTGTGAGGTCCAGTGCTGTTAAAATTGTACGATGAGCGGGCCTCTTCTGGCTTAGCCCGTTTGCGGCGTCGGTAACCATTGTAGTGAGAGCTGTTGTTAAGTGAAGTGGGCGAAAACCAACTATTTTGGTGTTGTTGTCCAGGATTTCTCTTGTAGTTTCAATATTACGTGTATGTTCTAGGTGTGTTTTTCTGTGCATGGTCAGACGTCTGGTTAGCAATGTTGTAGTTACTCTGATATATGATGCACGTGCCAAAATTATGCCAAACATGCTGTGATTTTCATCAATAATTGCATATATGTATGTGTGTATATATATATATATATATATATATATATATATATATATATATATATATATATATATATATATATATATATTATTAGATTATTTATATATAAAGCGCCCTTTATTGTTCTCAAAGGCGCTAACAATGTAAAAGTTGATTAAATGCGCTAATGCAAAAGTTGATTAAATGTTTCACTTCAATCAAATCATATCATGAAAAGTTTGTCTGAAAAGATGGTTCTTTAGCTTTCTTCGAAATTCAGTAATTGACAACCCACGAATTCGCAAGTCAACCGGCAAACTGTTCCAAATCTTCGGTCCCATAACGCGAAATCTCTGCAACCAACAGCAAGCTGAGTTTGTCGAATTGTTAACAAATCTAAATCGTTTGACCGTAACTTCTGACACTGTAACGGTGCATTTCTTGGAACAATTCGATCCAATAAATATTTCGGCGCTAATCCATTAATGCTTTTATACACCAGTAGGGCAATTTTGAAGACAATTCTTTGTTGAACGGGCAACCAATGAAGATTGAAGAGAATAGGAGTAACATGATCAAAATATGAACCGCCAGTTAACAACTTTGCAGCCCGATTTTGAATTAATTGTAACTGTGCAACATTCTTTTTGGGTAAACTGTAGAATAAACTGTTGCAATAATCGATTCTCGAGTGAATGAACGAGTGCATATTTAGAGATCCTTTGATGAGTCTCAATTTTCTCAATTGGTAAGTACATTCTTTCAACAACAACTTTATGTGCAATTGCATTGTCATGTTTGTATCAAAAATCAATCCAAGATTTCGTGCTGACGCACAAAATTCGATGACAGATTCCTTTATTCTGATAGTGTTGATACCCACTCTATTCACTTGTTGCCATGTACCCACAGGCAAAAACTGGGTCTTGCATTGGTTCAACTTTAATCTGTGCCCCATCATCCAAACATCAATAGCTGATAAACACGATACTAAATCATCGACCACATCACCAAACGACGAGGGAGAGGAATTGGCTATTATTTGGATGTTGTCAGCAAATGCATGAAACCTGAAATTGTACGACTCAATTATTGTGTAGACATCTGCTGTATAAAGCAAAAAGAGAATGGGACCTAAGACGGAACCCTGTGGTACACCGTATGACAAAGCATCGACAGCTGCCAAATTTGTTTTGAATAAAATTTGTTGAGTACGACCAGCAAGGTACGACACGAACCACTTGAGAACGACTCCCGATAGTCCAAATGTTTGCTTCAGTTGTTTGAGAAGTAATGCATGATCGACGCAATCGAACGCCGAGCTCATGTCCAAGAGAGCAAGCAATGACACATTTTGTTCGTCCATTGATGAATACAACCTTGACGAAACATCAATTAAAGCCGTTTCCGTCGAGTGAAACACACGATAACCCGACTGGTGAACCGGCATAAGATTATGAATTTTCAAATGAGAAGCAAATTGTGATAAAACGATTCTTTCAACCAACTTTGACAAAAACATAAGGTTAAATACAGGTCGGTAATTTTTTAACTCATGTCTATCAAAACATGTCTATATACATACATACATATACATACATTTGACAACACTTCCTCCCAGGTGACCTTGGGTCTACCGCCTTTTCCTTAAACCGCCAGTATATATATATATATGTGTGTGTGTGTGTGTGTGTGTGTGTGTGTGTGTGTGTGTGTGTGTGTGTGTGTGTGTGTACACACACACACACATCATGATCATATGCGTTTACATATATCATCATGATCATATGCGTTTACATGAACAGAACCGCCCAGTGTTCATTCCATGGTATGTTGACGAAAGCCACGGGTTGGCCTGGTCGCATGATCACGCATATTTAACCGTCTTTTCCATTCTCCTCTATTCTGGGCAATTCTGGTTTCAGGCCCAGGGCCATCGTGTCCTTTGACAACACTTTTTCCGAGGTGATCTTGGGTCCACCACCTTTTCTTTAAACTGCCAGTTATAATAGTTCTACATT